AAAGCAAATAACACACTCATCCCCGCCTTACACGCTGCGCAGTCTGGTAAACAGGTTGGAGCTGGTCGGGTTATACAGCAGCACAATCCCCCCTGTCCGAGTTACGTCAGCGCGGAAAAGGAAAGCACTTCAGCAACTCTGTGTGAGCCTCCATGTTCCGTTTCATGAAACGATAAGTTCGGCGGTCCGTCCACTCTTACCTTCCCGCTGTGAAAAGAGCCTCGCCTCCTCGCAGCTACGACTTTATTCAGTGTTGTGGAGGTTTCAGCGTTCTGGTCGTGACTCCATCCATCTTGAATTTGACGTCATCCCACACCAGGGATGAAGTCATCGCAAAGACCGCTCGTCACGTGCACTGCGCGCTGATTGGCTGTTCTTAAAACGGAAGGCGGGGCTGATGGCAGACCTCACAGTGGGGCTAATTTAAAGAGATAGCTGTGTCATATTTTTTCGTCTGGACTTCTGTCCTTTTTCTTTACCTGCGCCGTTTCCTTCCCGGGTCATGAGGAGCTGGTGCTTTAATTCCAGCTTTACGGAGGCTGGACAGGTCAAGTCCATCTCAGGGACACGTGACAAACGAGACAGACAACAACATACATGTTTTTGATCTGTGGGAAGAGAGTGGAGGTGAACCTGCGACCTTGTCCTGCACCCTGTGCAGCGCTTCTTTTAAAAAGTGTAACTAATGTATTTAAAAATTATTTTTAAAGAAACAAATAGTCATTTAAACTGACTGTGCCTGAGTTCTGTAAATGTAAATGCAACAGGTTGCTATGGAGATAAAATTAATTTCTGTTAATCTAAATCATGTTTTTTAAGACTTGACCTGATATAAATAAATAAATGCTATTATAATGTTAATCTACCTATATGTATTATGTATATGTATTATATTGTAGATTAACATTATCAAGTAGGGCATCCAGGGTAAAACACTTGTTAAATCTTTCATGCAAGTTCATGTGATGCAGAGACGCCCTCAAAGAGGAGCAATAAAATAAAATACACATAGTAAGTTAAAGGCCTAGCATTCTTGAAGGCATGGGTGTAATTTGCAGGGGGTGGGGGGTTATGGCCCCCACACTAATTTGATCAAGTCAACCCTTACAAATAAAATTACATCATTTGCTCAAACACGATAGAAATGACCTGGTTAAGTAGACAGATGCAACTGTTGTTGTGGTGACTTTAAACTGATTTTAAAAAAATTACAATTACAATGTCATATATGGACGTTTACGCATAATTGCTAAAAATGATATGTAGGGTTTTAGAGCACCCCCCCCCCAATGATAGACAGAAAGTTACGCCTTTGCTTGAAAGAACTCCTTGAAGGAATGCTTATCGTCCACTGCCTTTTATGCAGAATTTTATACTTTGTAAGTTTTATATATATATATATA